TTAAAAAAAGAATGCTTTCTCTAGCGCCATTCGTAATTGCTTTTCAAATAAAGAACAATTTTTAAATATTAATAGAGTTTCGTTCTGGACTTATATCAAAAGGAAATTTGCATATCCACGTAAACAAATAATTCTACAACATAATAATAATGTGATCACTCTGATATTGATATTGTAAGTATATGTCAATATTTAATCAATATTTTTCTAGTCTATTTATTGAGGATAATATTCACGCCACTTGTTTTAATGTAAATCGAATTTATCGCACTTCTTTCTGTGAGGTTGAAATAACACTACCGGATGATTATATCCTTAAATGGAATAGAGTTAAGTCGTCCATTTCAGCTGGTCTCGATAATATTCCACAAATAATTTATAAAAAAAAGTGTGCAATCTCTCTTTGAGTCTTCCCTATTTATAAGGATATTATGAAGTCTGACTTTAATCCCAAAATTTGGAAATTGTATCATATAATTCCTATTCATAAAAAAAGGAAGCACCTATAACTCTTCTAATTACAGGCCTATTAGTCTAACATGCGTTGGTAAGATACTTGAAAGGTTGATTTGCTTACTTATCTTAATGTCAATATCCTCCTATCAGCATGGCTTTTGTATGAAAAAATATATTTCACAAATATTGGCAAATCAAATCTTTCTAATTGCTCAGCCTGGCTAGATATGACGGGCAAATTACCCTTTCTTTTCAAAAATATAGTGTTTTTCATATTAATTCTAAAGGATTCGACCTTCCTAATCTTTTTATTATTGTTAGTAATAATCAGGACAGCCTCATACATTTTCGATCCTGGAATAATCATGGATGAAAATCTCGATTTCGACCTTCACTACGGAACCACGGTAAATCCTCAGCGATATTAAATTTTATTTTTCGTTCATTGGAAAAAAAGCTGAAGGTTTTCTTATTAAAATGTACAAAGCGTTCGTTCGACTTCATCTTGACTACAATACTACACGTTACTCCGTGAGATATCGTAAATTAAATAAAATAATTGAAGGACTCCAAAAATATTTTATACGACACCTCTCATCTAATAGTAATTTTAATTATAAAAGAAAACTTCTACAATATAACCTGGATTCTCTCTCAATTCGTCGAATGAAACAATATTTAATTTATTCTTATAAGATTCTGTATGGCTATATTAAACTAGATTGTTCAACATATCATAGTTCTGTGCTAAATTTGAATCCAACAAGAACTAATGGGCTAAAATCTATGAATCCAAGTTGCATTGTAGATATTGTATTGTAAATCCCTATGTGCAAAACTAAACTAAGGATTTATGACTTCTTTAATCGTACTATTAATTATTGGAATAAATTATCGAACGATATAGCTTGTGCACCATCCTTAGCTATCTTTAAAATTAAATATTTTCTTATCATAAGATTAGATAATATCATTTATGATATTATTTAAAAAGTTATTTTACATTATTTATTATTTTACATCATGCAGGAAGTCTCGATTTTTACCATCCGATTATTATATAATACAGTTACTTCGAATGGTACTATATTATATTTTGTAATTTCCTCTTTATTTCATTTTTAAATCGTTAATTTTATTTTATTTATTATTATTATTTTTTTATTATTAATTCTTATTATTTGTTATTTCAACTGCTGTTATTAAACAAAATTATTAAGCACATGGCGTTTGTCGCCCTGCTTGGTTGGTTTCCAATAAATAAATAATAAACAATAAATAAATGAAGAAATTTTAAATAGATCAAAGTTGTTATTCTCGAGTGTAACTTTTTCGTCCATAATTTTTTCAATGCGTATCTTCATCTCCAATTTCTTCGTGTACAATTTTCTCGTACAACCAGTTTCACCGTAACCCACCACTAATGTCACCTCAGTCCCTTTACGCCACTTTAACCTCAGATGCAGGTTCTTTACACCGTTCTTCAGTCGCTTCCATTCTTCCTTCTACTTCCTTCACGCTATCAAACCTCACAGCTCACAGACAAAAAAATATAAAAGGGATAACCTAAAGGATAAAGGAAAATTTGGTGAAATGAGATGGTTAAGGGGCAGTTGCCAAGAGAGAAGAATCATTTGGTGACTATGAAGGCCGCATAGCAGAAATTGAACGGATGTAGAAAGAATATGGCGAGTTGAAGAAATCTAAGGGGAACTTGAGGCATAAACGTCACCCTTCAAAAATATCTGAGGTTTCAAAAATCCTTCCTTCATTCCCTTTTCATTAATCAAGTCTTTTTCTTCTTCTAACAGTTCTGATTGCTGATTACTAATTAATTAAGTTGGCTTCGTTGCTTGTAGTGGTTTACTAATTTACTGATTTAACATGGAGAATTAGAAATAATATTAAATGAAATAATGAAAAAATGAATTGCAATAAATTAGGCTAAAATGACTTTGCAAAAAGAAAAAACCATTTTTTTATCATCGATTTACTTAATTTTTTTATAATTTACTTTAGCTCCAAGAAAATTTGGCTCTTAAAAAAGAATTAAAAGATTTTTTTAGTCTGAAATTTATGATCGACTCATAGATAAACTTATATAAGAATTTTTTCCTGGCGAAAAGGAATTGAGAAAAATTTCTGAAGGCAAATTGCAATTCTCCAATTATCAGCGACGATTCTCCAATTATCAGCGAAATAATTTAGCCAAACGTAGACTGCAGAACCGACCGATGGACGCCTATGTGACGCCTATGCTACAGCCTATCTCAACGAGACCAAAGAAATGGCACTGAATTCTACTAAATAATCAAAATCAGCAATGAATAAGAAGGACCTCAGGTTCGTTTCGCATTGAAACATTAGTTTCTTTTACGCATAGTCATCTATTTTCGTGTATTCATTATTGTCGCAAGTGCACTGCTGAATACAAATCCCTATAGGCCAAAATGCAAACCCCTATAGGCCAAAATGAAATGGACCTTTTAACAAATTGTTCTCTAATTTAGAGCAACCGAAGCTGATTTATAGCATATTAGCCGCCAATTAGTCATGCAGGTTCAGCATAGCTTGGTTTGCGATGTCTTGTGGTATTTTATCTTCGAGTAATTTGCGGTGTTCTTTTTTTGCCCATTTCTTTGCTTAATGAACCGGTCTGTGGGGTAGTGGGGTAGTTTTACTGTTCTTCTAAGGGGATTTATCATTTTTGGCTTGGTTGGTATCGGCCACTGGGACTGCTTAAGGTTTTTGTGAATCTTTTTGCTTTTTTTTCATATTTTTCATATTTTTTTTTCATATTTTTTTCACTTTTCAACCATTTCGTGGCTTTAAAAATTTTTTTCTTTCAGAAGTCTTCGCTATTTTCCATAATTTTTTAAGCGATTCTTTTGTTTCTCATTTACTAAAAGAATTATTGGCGATAGAGAAGGAAGGGAAGACAAGGTTGAACATAGATTGCAGTTTTAATTGCGAGATTAATTTTAAACTATTAAGTGGATTTTATAATTTGATTGATAAATTATTGCCAAAAATAAACAATGTCAAGTGATTTTTGCGAAGCAGCTTCAGCTAATAAAAGGGAGTAATTGATTTGATTTTACCAGCGATAAATAGCAAATTCTAAGAAACAGCTGCTTCGTTGATAAAACCTTTTTGTTTCGAGGAGAAATATTTCATGCCAGCGGTTTGTGCTTTCTTTCTTTGTGAATTATCTTTTCAAAATATAGTTTAAAAAATTTATTATATTTGAAGTCAAATATTATTAACTTTCATCTGCTTTTTTTTTAACGCATATTTATTATATTTGTTTTATTTTTCTATTCACTTTTATTAAAGATGGGTTGAAAGTTAAAATTATATAAAATTAGGATTAGGCTTAGGCTTAGGCTTAGGGAATCATCTTTTGTTTTTTTGGCTGTTCCTTTTTTACAGTATTTTTTCATATTTTTTAAACAACAGATCTTAGTCGATCCAGTCTGTTTTTTCATCTTTTAATTAATTAATTATAATTGATTTCTTTTTTACCATAGGAAAAAATTTATAATTTCTATTATTCTTTCAGTTTTCTCTTTAACTTAATATTATTTATTTTTTCAGCATATAATGGATATATGAAGAAAGAAGGCGAATCGATGAAAGTAATTTGGTATTTAAATGATCTGAGTTAATTTAGGAGAAATGATTATGTTACGTATGCTGAATCGATTCGTATCGATAAAATTGTTTTCGATCGAAGATGTTAATTTGTTCGATTTATTCCCTGGTTCTCTTTTTTTATGCTTAATTATATTAGTAAGAGCTCAAATTTAGTTTAAATAGGATGTTAACATATTTATTCGCTGATAGAACGCGAATTTAACCAATATGCTCGAACTTAACCAATATTTTGATTTTTAAACCAGAAATGTTATTTAAAAAAAGGATTAATCAATTAAAGAATTAATGTTTAATTTTGGTCTTAAATTAATAAATTTAATTTAATTAATTTAATTAAATTTAATTTGATTGAAGTCGAGATTTGGTTTTGATGTATAATTATTATCTTTCTTTTAACACTTCTGCTTTTGAATTTTATCTAGTAGCTTATAGAAAATTCTTTATCAGAGGATGAAAATAGAATTCCTTGAATTTCTGAACATATTTCCTATCACTATACGACTATTTGTTTTATTTCAACGATATGAATAGAATAACGATTTTTTTTTTTTTTTTTTTTATATTGAGCGAGCAATATTTGTTAAAACTATTCATGGGTGTGATCTTTGAAGTTATGTGACGTTTTACGCACAAAAATAAATATATACATATTTATTTTATATGTAGTATATATATCTTTATTAATTACATATGTATATATATATATTCGTTTTTTATAATATTTTTTTTGTAAAAAAGTTTCGAAATGTCGCTTTTCGAATTATTTTAATTTTTCGTGGATTTCAGGCAATGAACGAAAAGGTTTAGCGACATATATTTTATTCCTTAATTTTTTTTTCAAAATATTTTATATTTAAGTTAATAGATGTATTATCATTACAATATTAATGGCTGTATCGAAATATTTTGGTGATGAACGCATCGATGATGCTATTTACGCGGTTTATTTAAAGAAGGTTCGCTATACGACGACAACAGATGAGAAAGCGACCAAAGAATCGATGGTATGTCGTTTTTACTAAATTTTATTTATTAGAAATAGTTTGAATAAAGGAAATTAATTGGTTAATTGAAAATTAATTGTATAAAAAAATCAAATTAAAAATTAATTATTATTAAAAAATTAATTGTATAAAAAAATTAATTGAAATTAATTAATTGAAGGAAATTGAGATTATATCATTTTTTTGAGAATGAGACAGGTTAATTAATACTCATTTCTGGTTGAATTAGCTTTGCTGGTTATTAGAACGATTAGAAATTTTTACCAGCGATTAGTCACTTGGTGGTAGAGTTATAGGTGCATCGCCAATGCCATTCGGATTTTTAAAGATTTATTTCTTGACAGGCTCTGAACTTCTAACTACTAAGTCGAAAATCACTCTTCTATCCATTATAATTTCTAGAAATATTTCTAAAATACTTATGTTAAAGTTTTATGACGTAGCATAAACTTTAATATTGTTTAATTATATTGTTTAATTATTTTGTTATTTCATTTCTATTTTATTTATTTATTTGAATAAAAATGAGAAAGGATTAACTACCATGTGCTGATGGTTTTGGAAGGAAGAGATTAAGTAAATGAAACCTATAAACCTATAAAAAGTAATGTTTGATTTCTATCAGTGGACTGAAGATAAATCATTTAATATTTGAAACTGGAAATAGATTGAGCAGCAGCAATATCTCTGGCCAATTTATTCTTCTTTAATCTGCTTTTAATAGAATTAAAATTCAATGATATTAATTATCCAAATTAAATAAATTAACAAGAAAATGAAAAATTATGTAAATAAGAATGAAAGTTTTGCCAAATTTTTTCTAATTCTAAGTCGATCAAAACTGTAAAAATGATAAATTTATAATTGATTGTGCGATCAGGATTTAAGCAGTAAAGGAAGTATGGCTTCAATGAATTGAATTGTCACATATGGAAGTGGAAAATGCCCTAGCCGAACACTTTTTTTATACACACTAATATGATAACAGTTATAGTTGTAACAATAATCTATGACAACTAATAACAATTATCTGATCCATTTTGAAATGTTTCAAACTGTAAAACATAAAAAATCCGAGGCTTATAAATTTTTTTTTTTGAAGCCAGTAGTAATATTATTTTAATAAAAAATAAAGTTTGATTTCAAATATGGTTTTGATAATAAAACGAATTCAGATTTATTCATATAGTGTCTACGATTTCTTGTTTACGTTTTTTTAATAATTAAACCTTAAAATTAAGCCTTTCGCTTGAGACTTATTTGCCATTTCATGTGAAAAGCATTTAATTTTTTTTAATTTTTCTTAATTTTCTTAATTTCTAAAATACTATTTTCAGGAAAATCATTCCGATAAATTTCATTCATATAATTCGGACCAGGGAGATCAGTTACAGTGGGAAACGGTGAAAGAACGCGTTATACGTGCTGGAACTGTTGAAAAACTAGTAGTAAGTTACATTAAAATTTATCTTGCTTATCTTGCATTTTACTTTAGTTTTTTTCCATATAATGCTTGTATTCCTTTATTCAGTTTTAATTTTTGTTAGTAGTGGTTAACCCAGTTGTGCATTTCTTTTTCCAAGTAACTCTAATGGTCGATTGAGACTTGTTTGCTACAGAGAAATCTTATCAGTTAAAATATCAGGCCTAATAGTCTGAGTTTCATCTATCTAGCTAGATTTTATTTTTCTTTTTTTTTGTAACTGCTCATTTTTCTTCATTATATTATGTGTTTGCTAATAAAACTGACACCTTTGAACACATAGTTCAATGTATTTAGTGATCCTTTTTTACAAATAGCTTTATCATCTCTTTATCGTCTTCCGAAATGATCTTTCCATCATTTTGTATTAAGTTTTTTTTCTTCTTTGATTTATATTTATAAATAATTTTTTTCTTTTTGTATTTCATAGTTTATCTTATCTTCAAGCTGATATTTTAACTGACTGAACTGATTTTCTCTGTAGCAACTGGCATTCCGGTAAAATTTATTTCTAAATTATAAATTTGAAAAAAATGGCTAGTTATCGTTTCGTCTAAATGTAAAATTATTCATGAGAAAAAAATGAACATATATGTGCGGCTGTTTATATGTCATATGATATATAACTATTGAATGGTTATAAAATTGGTTGAATTATGAATAGGTATATTAGAATTTCAGCGATTATGCAATAATGCAACTTTTTAAAAAATAAGAAAGGCTTTTAGGATGGAAGATTCACTGGTATGCTTTATTATAGAATGTAAAGTAAATATATGGATATATTAAACTCTTTTGCAATTTTTTTTTTTGTTTTCTTCGGTTAATATTTCTGGTTAGGCTGGCGTCATTGGATATTAATATGAAGCAGTTTCGTTAACGAATCATTTTGGAGTAAAAACCTTGTTCGTCAAGGAAAAAAGGAATCAGAAGCACAGTCTAGGCGACTAACCTGCTTTATTGCTCTTTTCCGATTGTCATTCATTTGATTCGAATTAATTTTTTATAAATTCGCCATAAGTTTTTTTTATTCTTCGACTATTCTTCACACCTATATTTGCAGTATCTATTTATAAATCTTTCAGTTTTTTTTAGCTTTTCTAAATATGTCTTAAGGCAAATTTATTCATTTAAGTATCATAAAAATTTTTGGAAACTTTAGTCAAATTTTTTAAATTTTTTATGATTAATGGAAGCAATTAATTTTTATTCGACATGCATATTTTTACTTGTTTACTTGTTTCTTCACTGCATTTATTGTTAGATTGCAGAAATTTTTGCCAAGTTTGTAAAGAGTTTGTAAAGGTTGTAAAAAAACATTAAAAGTTTGTTAAGGTTTTTTTGATATTTGATTTCAAATTTAAACATTCTGATAATTTTTTCATTGCTTTTAGGAAAGTTTACTTGGCAGCGACAATATGATGGATTCAAGGCATTTCAATGTTTTTTTTTCTACTTATCGTGCTTTTGCGACGAGTATGGATGTTTTGGATTTGCTTTTACGCCGTTATGAATCGACTGAAAATCGTATGTTTTCTTCAAGTTGCGACATGTCAACTACACGAAAGTGAGTTCTTTTGTGTTTTTTTTTAAATTCTAAACGATAATAGATATAATTAATTAATATTGTCTCATTGTTATTGTTATGTTATGCCGTTAAAGAAATCTTTGCATTACTTCTTTTTCTTGTAATTCTCTTGTTTTAGCTCAATTCGGTCGATAATTCTGTGTTGGATTGAAATGTATCCTGAAGATTTTTACGATCCTAGTACTGATTTTGCTGCCATTGTGAAATTGCTCAATTTTACGCGTGCACATAAAATATCTGACATTCGATCGAAAGCTCGGCGAATGCGAGATATTTTTAAACAAGTCGCTGCAGATGGTGGACTTTTAGGTGAGCATTTTGCAGTGAATATGGCATTAATAATATCACAATTGAATTAATGCTGATTATTTATTAATATTAATAAACTAGATTGATATTTTAGCGCAGATTCCTTCGATGACACATTACATAATTGGTCATGGATATGAAGCTGTTGATTATATATCATGTGTGGAAAGGGCCAACGTTTTTGATGTTGAAAGGGGAAATTGTGTACAAATTGCGGAACAACTTACTTTTTGGGATGCGGTCGGATTCTTCTTTCTATATTCTATTTATTTTTAAAAATAATTTTCTGATTTTATTTTGTTCTAGGCACTATTTAAGGAAGTTTTGCCGCAACAATGCCAAGGTTGTATTTGGTCAAAAAGGCATAAGAAGGGGCCAGAGGCAGTTTACAGCGTCAAAGCTACTATTGATCAGGTATTTTTTTATCAGTTTTTTATGATTATTGTATTTTATTATTTATATTTATTGCGTTTAATAAGAGTTAAGGCATATTCCACTATCTTTATAAGTTTTTTTAAAGGCTATGATGAAAATTAAATTTTCAACTTACTTTTATGAGGAACTGAACTAATTGAAGTTGGCTTTAAATTTTTAGGCATAATAGAAATTAGTATTAGTAAAAATTTATTCGTCAAGTTTTTAGTTCAATGCGGTCGTACAGAAAGTTATGACAAGCATAGTTTTACCCGAATGTCATTCCAACTTTCGTGCAAAGATTATATCTAAGTGGATCGAAGTCGCAAGGGTTGGTTTTTTTTTAATTTTTCAACATTTCTTTTACTACTCTTTTCGAGTAGAAAAATGGATCTTGGTTAATTTTTATTGACTGTATGATATTTTTGTTGCCAGAGTGAGTAGAAAATATCCAATTAGTAAAGAAAGATATGAGCATTATTTTTCAGGAATTACGGGCTCTCAAAAATTTCTCGTCGTTAAAAGCTGTTTTATCAAGTTTGCAATCTGAACCTGTTCATAGATTAAGATCTGTTTGGGCTCTAGTGACAAGGTTATATTTATTATCTTTATGATTTTTGGGAATAAAGGAAGTTTTTTAGATTTTTAGATTTTACTTTTAGATTTTTTATTTACATATTTGCTATATATATATATATATATATATATATTGTTTGTTTGCAGTAATCATACTGCTCAATTTCGTGAACTTTCTTCAATATTTGAAACAGATGAAGCCGGAGAAGAAAAAAAAGCTCGACAGATTCTTGAAGAGGTTTTCATCATTTATTAATTTTTAAAATGAATTTCTTATTTTTTCATTCAAAAACTGCATAAATTTATTTTCTGTCTTGCTTATAGTGGTTTTTATTTTATACAATCAATTTTTGTTTTAGGAGGGAACAACAAAAAGTTCGCCATTACGTCGTCCTCAGCTTTGCAGACGATCGAAAAGTGACGTTAATCTTATTGAATGTCAAGGAACGGTTCCATATTTAGGAAGTTTTCTTACAGATTTGTCGATGATTGATCAGGCTATCCAAGATTTTACTGATGGTAATGTATATTTTAACCATTTCAACTCCTCAGTATAATGTTTATATATATATATATACATATTAAATAAATTATATAAATAAGCCTGTTTGGTGGAACGAGGATAAGCGAGTGGTGAATAAGATAGGCTACTGTATTAAAAATGTAATATATTGTTTCCATCAGGAAATACAAAAATTACAGAAAATAGCTCTGCTGGCCTATCGCCAAATGGCTCCCTGGTTTTCTTTATTAATTGCTAATTGCTAACAGCCCCTTGAATTTAATCAGAAATGATGGGCGTTGACCGTTTTTATTTACCTGTATGATGTTCATTTAGATGGACTAATCAATTTTGAGAAAAGAAGGAAAGAATTTGAGATAATGGCAAAAATTCGATTGTTCCAATCGGCATCTCGAGGATATTGTATTCCAATGGATGCAGCTTTTTGCTCCTGGTTTTTATTTCTTCCAGCTCTTGACGAGAATCGATGGTAATTATTCCGCCATGAATTTTATTTTATATGTATATATATATATAAAATTTAGTCATATTTCTTTAAATATATATATATATATCAGTGGTAATTATTTCTTTAATCATTATTTTATATTTAAAGAAATATGACTAAATTTTAATTTATTTCTATTTGGAATTTCAACGCATTGATAATTTATTATTTTAGTTTCATGCGTTCTTTGGAAATTGAGCCCCCAACTAATTCGCCTCCAGAGCTACCAAGGTCATTGAAATCGCAACCAAATTCTTCATCAAAAATGTAAGTCGTAAATTTGTTATATTAGCGACTAGTGATTCTAAATTTTTACCAATTTTATAACTTTATTATATTCTCTTATATATTTAAAACTAAAAAATCATGAGAATTTCTAAATTTATTAGTTAAATTCTTGGAATAATGGTTAAATTGGTGGTCGTTATTCATCAATTTTTTTCACCTTTCACCTTATATTTTTACATTTGTCATTTAATAGTTGTAAATTCGTTTCAATTTTTTATGTAATTATTTTATTTGCGAACTATTGCGAATTATTTGTGATATAAAATATGATTAGATTTTTTTAGTAACACATTGACACGTATGTTTTCAAATGTCAATAACGACGATCACTTCGGTGCCCAGCTTTCTTCTGATTCGGGTATCGCAAATGATGATTCTTGGGTATCAGAGGGAGTAAAAATACCCCCAGTTGAGCGATCTTATTTAGGTAGTTTTAGTCCTTTTGGAATTCGCGCATCTCGATCGTTCACTGCCCCATCAACTCCAGCCAGTACTTTTTCATGGAGAGGAGGTTATTACTTTATATTTTTATTTTTATATTTATATTTTTGTCATTTGTTTTTCTTATATTTTTATTTCTTTTCTTGTATTTTATTTTATTCAACATTGAAAAGTGCTAAAAAAAAGTGATGATTTAAATTATTTATTGGATTATAATCTATAAAACTTGAGGTAGTGAGTTTAATCCAGGCCATTTGGTGGCTCATCAAAGATCTTCAAGTGGTTCTTCCAATATTCGTTCAAAGGATTTCACTTCCGGCGGGATTAATTGCTTTATTGTTAGTTTTCTTCGAAATTCATTCTCATCCTTTCACATTAAGAATTAAAAATTAAAAAAGTTAAAATGTTAGAATTAAATGAAGAATTTTTCACATTATCTTTTTAATTTTTTTATCTTTTATATTTTATGTTCTAACTGTATTCACAAAGTAGATGTCCGATAATTCTGTAAATATCGCTTTATTACATCAATCATAAAATGAAATTTTTAAAAGAAATGAGCGATCATTGGCAAATTGTGGTACTAATGAATTTGTTTCAAAAATTATAATTAATTTAATTAATCAATTTGTATTTCAGAAAGATTCTCCATCGAACATTGAGATGCTTTCACATGCTTTCGAACAAATGCCAGAGAATGCCGATGGAGTGAATGTTGGCGAAGGAATGCAGCAGAATTTGGTAAATTTATAATTACTTGTTGAACTATCTATATTACACGATTTTTATATTTATTAATTTTTTTAATTTTTTAATTTTTTAATTAATATATTCATTGAATTTTTTTTAATGAATAAATAACCAAATTTCATTTCTTTTCCCTTTTTAGTTTTATATCTCATTTTTATTTTTGTTTTTTCTTCATTTCATCTTTTATTGAAATGTTTCTATAAGGTATCCTCCTTTAATGATCATTTTGTTGCCATGAGCAATGGAAATTTCCAACTCAAGTGTTTTCCATTTTCCAAGTTCTTTTGCTATTTTTAAGAAATTCCTTATGCTATATAATTTTTATGATATTTCTTGAGGAAAGTTTAATAATAAGTTTAATAAGTTTTAGAATTCAAATCATTCATCTCCATCTTGTGCTTCATCAATATCAGCTAGAGCGCCTTCACCTTCTTTCCATCTCGCTCGAGTAGCATTAGATGATCTCTTGCAAAATGAAATTGCATCGACAAACTATAAGTGCATAAAAGTAAGTCAAAAATTGGCTTGTTCATTCTTATTTTCTTGTTTTTTTCTTTTTAAGTTAAATTTTAGTTAAATTAAATTTTTCACTTCATTTGTCATTTATTTGTCATAATTTTAGGTGGAAAATAGTGATCGTATGAACAAGTTAATTGAAAGGATATTGGAAAAACATCTTATAAAGGGCATTTATTCTGATTATTGCTTAGTTCAGCTCCTTCCTGATGGATGTAATTTTTCTTTTTTTATTATTGTTAATTTTTTTCCCACTGATCCATTATTTTAGATCCGGATGGCGTGCAGCTTGCATTATTCTGACCATATGACCATCCTTAATTAATCCTTTTATCCTTATCCTTAATTTTCCATTTTTGGTTTTTGATGCTTAAATAAATGATTATTAAAATATTTTTCATCATCCTAACCAGCCGTTCTCTTCGAAATTTATCTAATATTATTGTATCCAGATAGCCTTTATTTTACGAACTGTGCTGGCTCTTGTTTCTTTTGATTCTCGGCATAACTCATATGTGGCATTTAAAAAATATTAGGCGATCAGCGAAAAGCAAAATCGGCTGAAATATAAGAATATGTTATATATATATATATATATATGACTTATGGAAACATTTGGTCAGTTCGAAAAAAATATAAAGTATAAATAAAAATATAAATGATAATTTATAGGCGAATTTCAACTGCCTGATAAATGTAATCCATTTTATGCTGTTGCACCTGATCCCAGTTCTCCAATGCTCAACTTCGTTTTACGTCGTCGAAGTGATTATGATGATCGTCAGACTACTATTGCACCTTCAGTAAAAAAACTTAATCGCATAAAAAGAAATAATCTTCTGAGGTGGAGTAGTGGCTTTTTATAATGGATGTGATCCCTTTTTTTTACATTTTTTAATTTGTATTTTATTCATTGCTGTCATATTCTACTTGTAATATTTAGCTTATTCACTTTTTTAACTGTAATATGCTCATTAATTTTACTTAATAATTCTTCTAATATTTATTGTTGTCCGCAAGTGCAAAATCATAATAAATGGTATTTTTATTTTATTAAAAGATTACGTTTATTATATTTGTGATGATAAATGGTATACTGCAGACAGTAATTTATAAAAATTTTACTGCCCGCTTCTCTCAAATTGTTAATTTATTGTTGTGTCTCCAGGTAGAGCTTTCGACTTCCGCAGAAAACTCATTTCATTGGCCTTACACTACGTTTTTCCAGTTTAGATATCATTATGACAATCGTTTTTTTGTTCGATCAGTTCATTTTAAATAGTGCTTTTTTAATTTCTTCGCAATATTTAGGAACATTTTTCTAAAAAAATTAAAAGTTATATGGCTTATAATTTTTCGTGTTCGTCAGGTAGTCACTGAAGTTTTTAAGGTAAATTTGTTTCGAATGATCAAAAATTCTAAAATTTCACTTATTGCAGATGTAGATAAGTATCTTTATTGGGTGGGGGAGAAGGATCCGAAAAACTGATTTAAAGCTCGGCTTATTTACAAAAAAATAGTTCTCGTTATCTTCATTTTCTTAATTTTAATGCTAATTTAATTTGTGTTATTTATTGTTTTATTTGTATAAAAGGATTTGCAAATTTAAAATTTATTGAGTGGTCTTTCAAAATATACACCGTCTTAAAAATTCCATGAACGAATGAGAAAATTCGAAAGTTTGACCGTAAATTTTACTTACTTACAACATTTGATTTGTCTTTGAAACCATATATTTTCTCGTTCTTCTCGTGTAAATCTGGAAATCCATGTTTTATTATTAGTAAATGGGCCATGTTGTTCGTTTTGACTTTTTATATTATGTTGTCAATGTCTTATTTGTCCAGTATTCAAATCCAAATCCAAGTAATAGAAGTTCTCCCAATCTAAGGAGGATGACGCGAATAAAATTAATACCTCTAATAAATAAAATTTATTCGCAGAAAAATTAATACCTCTTCGATGGCCTAAAGTGGCCAAATATATATGGCAGACTTGGCTTGGTTTCAGCATCCTCATTCACCAAATCAACAATTAGATATCGTTTACTTAAATCAACATACAAGGTATTCGTATTATTTAATAGTGCATGAGTTACGTACCAATCATCCATCTAAAAATAATCCTTTTTAAAAATTTTCTGAATTTTTGCAGTTTCGTTTTATTGGCGCTCAATTAAATTGACAGTGGTCTACTATAAAGTCAGCTTTGCTAATCTGACAAGAGATTCATCTTTTAACGATACTTATCACTACTGATTTGATTGACCGCAGTGACTATTAAGGCTTTCAACAGAGAATCAATACGTTTGACACTATAAATGATTCTTCAACCGCACCTGAATTTTAGCTTCCAGTGACAGTTTTATTTTTGCGACCGAACCTATATTACTCATGTTTAATGGAAAATATAACATATACTCATTCAGTCACTAGTGCCGGGAAATTTTCTTGAGATTCGGTTGATCGCTTGCTATTCAGAAATAAAATTTGAGGAATCATTATATATGATAAAATTTTAATTTGTCAGTTTCTTATCTCCAGCTGTACTTTTACCGTTGGTGTTCAATTCCAATCTGGCCACATACATTTTTCTCAGGCTTTCCGAATATTTCTCCCATAGTCATTCATGCAGGAAATACAGCGCATGTGTTTTCTAATGTTTATGATCGAAATTCCTCGGCTGGCTCGGCTCGTTGTCGTCATCGGTCTGACGTCGAACCATTCTATGCTATTATATTCCGGTGCATTCCCAAATTTTTTTTGTCTTTCTTACTCTATCTAAACCCTACTTTGATTGTGTTGAACTATGGTCATTATTGCCTTTGTTATTAGCCATATTTTGTTTCTCAGTCCGTTATTACTGGTTGGTTATCATTATCACTACCGTTTCTTTCATATCCTTCGGATAAAGCGCTTCGTATTATTCTCCGCTATAAAGATAAAGAAGTAATACCGACCTCAAACATGTATTTTAAGCCATCATCTATTTCAGTTATCGCTTTCTTTTTCGATTTTTTGATTTTAATTTTATTTGTGACATGTCAAGCAGTGAATTTCAATGAACTTGATCTATAGATAACCATAACAGAACACTAGAATCAAAATTTAGCATAATTCCTTATTTTTCTTAAAATTTTTTAAAGATATAGAGCCAATATAATTCAAAGCTGGATTCTAACCCAAAGAAATTGGACCTTTGCAATGTTGTAGTACATTTTCGAAATTAGATCACCACTTAAGATGTAAGCCAATCCTTGACAGTACAATCCGAGATTATCGAATGGGAACTCTTCCCTTGATATAAACCTAAAATATTACATTGAAATATTGTGAAACTTATCGAAATAATAGCTGTACGGTAAAATTTTAAAGTAAAAATTAAAATTTCCATTTAGAGAGCGGATTTCGTGTTATCATTCCTTTCATAAATAAACGACAGCCGACGAAATTTTTGCGAATTGATGAATCCGTTAATAGTTCTATCAATGACTGCAAATCAATTGTAATATCATCATCGAGTTTTACCACAAAACTTATCTTTTTCTCAGGGCAAATCGAATGCAAATGTGTGATCCAGCTTCTTGCCTATAATCAAATTTATACTGCACTTTATTAATTAATGATTAATGAATAATTAATGGATAAAAAAATATATCGTTTAAATTCTATGAATTTTTTTTCATAATCAAAGTGTTGGATAGTCGCAGACAAAATCGTTTATAATCTTCAAAAAAGACCACAAAACTAGAAGAGTGTTGTATCTTGAACGCATACTGCTTCGCCTGGGCGGAAAGGTGCATTCTCCAGCCTGACCTAATCAACCAAATGCGAAAATGAATACGGCGGGATTCTGTTTTTCCCAACTGACTCTACTCTGTTTTCTAATGCCTTTTGGTGGATTTCTTTGATAAATTTTATCACTTCAAGAATTTTTAATAGCCAATGAAGTCAGCCAAGTACAAACAGTGTTAAGCAAAAGAAGAATGCATTACGCCAACTGTTGAATGCTTCTTGAGAAATCCTTAGATTATTCTTATTTATTCTTTATTTAATAATGTTCTTTATTTTTAATAAGTCTGGCTCAGTTCTTAAAAAATCAAACTTTGTACGTCATCGAATGATAGGATTCGATTATATTGATTTGATGTATATCTTGATGAATTATTGCTTCCTGCTTCACTTGATCGTTAATATCCTCGTTCTGCGATAGTCCAACGATGAATAAAATCCTCGTTCCGTACTGGAAACAATTGTCCGAGACAGGTGATACTTTCACTATTTTTATTTCATATTTCTATTTTTATAAACGATTTACAAAATGGAAGTGGCAATAATCATCGTCAGTTAATTAATTAATAATTTCTAATTATTTCCCGATAAGTGGAAATTACCAAAAAATAAATCAATCAAAAGCAATGAAGGTGAGCAAATCAGAATAATTTACTAGAAAATAACCAAAATAAATAATATTTGCTTAATGTTTACTTATTCGCTGTACTTAAAATAATAATAACAGTAAATTTTTAAAAATTTCAACAACTATAATATATTTTATTATTCGAACCCTTTTAAGAGTTCTGTTATCAAAATATTTTTCTCGGAAATATCTCCTCGAGGCAATGTTATTCGCATGTGAATGTATGATGAAAACGATTGAACGATCAATTAAGCAAAGCATTGTGTTTGTTCGTAGAACCTTTACTTTTATTTCATCATCGGATGATAAAGATTTAAGATTCCTCTTCATTAATGAGTAGGTCTGAAAAAATCGTTGTTTCATGCTATTTCGCCATTTAAATGAAATGAATCTGAATCTGTTTTGCACAAAAAGAATTGGGAAGATCTCAAATCGTCGCCGATCGCCGATGCTGAGGTTCTATTCCCGGCAATAGTAAAAATATGCAAAAAATCCGAGTGATATTGAGAATTGGTAGATGGCGAATTAATTTCAGAGACAACTCACTTGGTACCGTTGACTGGATTTTGAACAGAAGCTGCATAGTTGTCCAAAATAATTATTACTAAACAATACGATAAAAAAAGAAATGGCTGCTACAAGAATTATTGAAATTAATTTAAGAATTCGTAAAGGTATATTCATAGCAATTATTAGAAATATGTTGCAGGCAAGATGCGTGCCACAGATATTTCGCTTTCTGCAGCTTTCGCTTCCTAGCACTTTGATACTCTTTTCACTAAAAAGAATAGAAAATCTAGCAAATGAGCGAAAAAAGGGATACATCATTTAAGAAATAAATTTATGCATTCTGCTAATAAATACCGTATGAAGAAGAAAAACCAAAATGCTTGATTGAAGATTTTTTGCACTTTTAGATTCACCTATTTTTCTAAAGCTGATAACGGTTAATAACAAAATAATCCGTCATTGACTAAAGAAATAAAGAAGATTAATAAAGAATCTCTTGAATTTACAAATGGGAAAGCAAAAGGCTAGTAAATTGGAGATTTAAGCAAATATGCCGTGAATAAAGTATACGGTGAATATTCTTTTGAGCATTCCCAGTTCGCAGCATCTAATAAAAACCTCTAAGCAAAGTGATTATTTGAAATTCTTTTCATGACTGACTGCAAAACGTTCATCAGATAATTAGGACAAACTAAATAATTTAGAAAATTTAGAAAATAATAATTTTCGACTATGAAAGGGTCAAATCGCCGTTGAATAACAACCTATCTTATCGCGTTTTTATTATATATTTCAATCCGTAGTGGTGTTAACGGTCCACATATATTTTTATCGTCAAACGACTCCATGGCAGAAGTGAACCCAATCAGAAATGGTGAACGTTAATCACCAAGTACCAATTATATTTCAATAATACTGCTATTTCTACTAAGATAGATTTCATAAAACAGCATCGTGAAAAACTGAATGGAAGATTTCGATCTTGCTATATGATTCTCAGATATGGCCAGTGAGAGTGGAGGATACTAAGAGGCTATCTGCCTTTGAATACTCATACCCTTGACTACATTTTACGGGCTCTCCGAGTGGATAAAATCTCACATGATCTCATCCACTTTCGTTCAAATACCACTTGCTAAACCGTGTGATGGATGGTGACAAAAGCGAGGTGGGCCAATCGAGACCTGGACTGATGCGGTCAGGAAAGATTTTGAACATTTAGATGGACCAGCAATATATGGACTTAGACTATGGAATAATGAATGGCTTCTATTACTGTCGAAGATAGCATCAGACCGCGCTGCTTGGAAGCGTCTTACTATTGTAGCTTTGGAGCCAACCTAACCAGTAATGGTGAGAAATGTTAGAAGAAGAAAAAGAAGATTTCCTTCCCCACTTACCGATTGCAAATTTTTTGTGAGTTATTATGGAGATGAGCAAAATAAACAAATTATCAACATTTCATGAAATTGAAATTTTTATTTATCTTATGTTTAGTTTTTATAAATTTTTTTGGAATAAGTTGGACCATTTAAACACGAATTGTTATCTGTGAAAATAACAATAATAATAATGAATACTTTAGATATGGATGGAAAATTGTAACGTTCCAATTTTTATGACACATTACTATTTTTATTAACGTGCCGTTCTGCTTGGATTTCGTTCATGGCATCCGAGTGTAAATTCAGTCAGATAGCATTTCCTGGATCAAGCGAGTGAGTCCTAGTGTCTCCATCACCAAATGGCTTCTTTAAAAGATTTGCTGGAAGTTAGTGGAGTATGCCAAAGCAAACAAATAATGAGTGCTGCTGGAGAAACGAAATAAGAGATTTATTTCACTGTTAATGTGTATACTTGGAGCATCTGGAACAGAAAAAAAATTCATAAATGGGTTTACAAAATATTAGCGAATATTAAGTTCTATCGGAAAACCTGTCTATTGCCAAAAATACATCAAAACTCGAAATGCGTGCTAAGACGATCAATTTTCGTTTCCAATGTTGTTTAGCATCCCATTTAGTTTTTATGTTCGATTCTTATTTATGCTTAATATAAACACAACAGGTGATCTAAATCAAGGAGTTCGATAGCGACTAGTCGAAATCTTGCTCACAGTCGTATTGTGTTGCACTGAGCATAAATTCAAGCATCACGGTCTCTCCCCATAAATGGAGCGATTCATGTGATAAATCAGGTGGTACTAGGCATCCACCTGTACTCTTATCACCAATTAGTTCACCAGCGAAAGAAACCAGCTAAGTCAGAAATGGTTAGAAGGAAGAAATATTGCCCTTACAAAATATTTCCAGCAAATGAAGGTGTAGTCCACGTTATATTCCCGTGGCTTCTTTTTACTTTCTACTTTATTTCTATTTTCTAATGCTTTTTACTTTAATTAATAAAAATTGATTAGATTATCAAGTTAAATTCATGCGAGAATTTCGATGTTTAACCACATGGATAATTAATAATTTGTATAAAAATTCCTTCCGTCTCTCATATTAAAACTACTTTAATGATAAAACTACTTGTTCATGGAAGTTCAGCCAAAAATGTGTTTCGCTCATTGGTTTTTCTGAAACTTCGCAGTCAATCTTTTAACTTTCTATATAAAATTTTTTGTGAAAGCGTAATCCCGGTTCATACTTTCTTTTATTTAGCGAGATTTTATCAGACTAAATGAAATCTATTTTTTTCTTATTTTTGTGGGTCATTAAAAATATGGGATGTTATTAAAAGATTTTTTACAGGTATACTTTAAGAATTTCTACTTTCCATACTCAAACCCCATATTTTGGAATATTTTCTAAAAAAAAGAATTTTTTAAGAAAGATAAAATTTGTATTCAGAAAAACACGTACATGAAAGAGTTTCTTTACTCGTACGTGATTCAGTTCTATCTTTATTGAGTGTTTTTTAAAAAAAATAAGTGGTCCCTCGAATATTTTTTCAACGACTTTTAACTTTCTATATAAAATTTTTTGTGAAAGCGTAGCCCCGCTTTATACTTTTTTTATTTTGCGAATATCAACCAATAAAGAAGAACCAATTCGTAATTATGGGTTATTCCTGTAGTTCTCGAACAATTATACGCATTAATGAACACGATTACGATTACCATATTACCGTTAACCGATTTACATTTATGCTTTATACTTAGCCATCGATTCACAATTCAATAATTTAGCGCAAATTTCTAGCACTTTTAATTTTGATTTCATATGCTTTTAATATACATAAACATACTTATCAATATTTGGTGCAATAATTTAGTACAAGCGATTGAATAAGGGATAAGGTCGACGAGCGGTTATATTGCTTTGATTAAGGCCCTGATTCCTGTTTTTCATGAGATTAAACCTGACATTAGAAGAGAAGCCGTGTGAAGTTAAGGACCAATCTATATTTCCATCCCAACACGAAAGATTCTCATCCTAATAGCCAGTGCAGACATCCAAAAAAGCCAGAAGTGTTAAACGATAATAAAATTTTTAAACAATAATCTATAACAATTGTAATAAAATAATGGTCAAAAATTAGTAATAATCAAAAATTAGATCTATGATTGCATTAAGAAAATTGTTACACGGTTTAAGAAAATTCTGTCCGTTCTTGGGTATGATGATTATTTTCGCAGTTAGTTTAACAATTGGTTATGTCACACGGTTTCCAGATATTTATATAAAAACCAAGCGATTCTTGAAAAAAGCAAAACATTCTTCATCAATTTCTCTTTTCATCGCCATTTTATATTTGGCTTAATTTAAATTTTAAATTTTTGCCAAATGCTTTTATGGTTTCGTCAAATTATCGTAAAACCGCTTAAGCAATCTGAGCCAGTCGGCTGGCCTATCTTCCCGAAATCGGCCCCTATCTTCCATTGGAATGATAATAATAAGCAAAAGTTGAAAAAATTCTTCTCAACAATTATCGTATTGGATAATTAATTCAGATTAATTATTAAGCATAGTATATTCGAAATATAAATATAAAATTTAAATTATGTAAAATTTAATAAAAATAAATATATTTCGAATCTTCTCGAAAAAAAGCGTTTGATTCGGCCAGATTCGATCAGAAATAATAAGCGCAACTATGCGCCACAACTAAGTTTTTCTACCGTCTTGAGTACCAAGCTAAGGAATAATTTGCCAAAAATTTACCAATTTAACGCGAGTTGGTAAGTAATCATTGTTCTTTTCGTGTTTCTATTTTCGTTTAATATTTCTGGTTAGGCTCGCTAGTTATTCACCACTCACCTTTACTTCCAAGAGGAAAGGTAAAGTGTTGTTGACAGTAAAGATATCGATCGAACATGCCTTGAGGAATGTCGATAAACATTTTTGGCCAAAAATTTCTTCGCCATCTCCGAAATTCAAGCCATTTTATTTTTTTTTGAACCATTCGATTCACAAAAAGCAAAGCTTATTTTTATTTATCTCTTCAAATTTCTTTTCAACCGAAATTAATTTGAAAATTTTCAATTTTTTCATATCTTTTTTTGTTTTTTTGCTAATTATCCGAGTTTTTTGCCGATTCAAATTGCCTAATTAGTTCAGTTATCATAAACTTAACAGTTTAAGAAAATTTGATGCTTTTGATCATGAAATTTATTTACATTATTAACAGTCTGGTTATAGAAAGTTTCCTTCCAACTGTTATCCTATTATTGTTAAGCAGTATCGTTCCTTTCATGGATTATTGTGATTCAAAAGAGTTGACCATAATTGAATTAATTAAAATGAAACTCCTTGTGAAGCGCCAGGCTCTGGCTTTTGAGTTGAGTTCTTCTGAATTATTAGTTGTCCAAGTCAAACAAAAAATGAAATTTCTTTTAAGCTTGTCAACATTATCTTCATTCTTTTCCACCTTCTTGCAACTATTCCAAAATCCAAACTGAAAAAAAATCTATAAATTTTCAATTTTGGTACTTACAAGTTCTACAAGTTTAATCTATTTCTTTATGTCAGACGATTTATTTGGTTTTTGGGTTTGACTCATGCATAAATCTCGAACTCTCGAACGAGTGGATTTCAAGAAAGCACAGCCAACAATTATCAGCAGGAAAAATTTATGAAAATATTTGAATGCTGCAAAACTATTATCGTTCCTTTTTTTTTAAACGCCAAAATTCTCACCAAGAATTTAAAAATAATTTTAAGAAAATAAGGAACTATTGAAAAAAAATGACGGAAATGAAAACAGCAATTTTGTCAGATGATGACCGTGAAAAAGTTGATAAACTTCGTAAATTGGTCCAGTATGACCTAACCCGTTATTATGATACGGATTTCAATTTACTTCGGTGGATTCAAGGATTTTCAGAAAATATTGAAGAGACTGGAGTCAAACTGAGGGCTCATCTTAAGGCTAGGTAATTCATTTTAATCTGAAAAAATAACATGAATTAATTCAATTATCTGAAGGAATTTATCTCGTCCTTCTTTGTGCAATATGAACTGATATAACATTTTATCTTGGTTAGTTTTTTTTCTTTTGTTTTTCCTTTCTGATTGATAATTTAGAGCATCGACTTGGAAGTTGGACGAGATGAGTAAGGCACCGAGAGAGCATCCGATTCATCGGCACTGGAGATATGGTATCACTGGTCTCTCTGGAGTACTTGAAAATGTTGTCGTCAACATCGAGCAGGTTTGGCTTATTAGATATCTGTTTTCAAGTTTTTCGGATATTTTCTGCTGCGGATTTCTGCGAATTAGTCCAAAAAACATTACAAGATAATTGCAATTTTGGTGCCATGGTTAACATGAAATTGATTTGCACTCGTAATTAATTATTTAAGTGTGGTCGTACAGATTACTGGGGTATGTTGCAAACGCATTCCATTATTGAAATCCTACGAGCAAGGATACCCGATTTAGAAAATATGTTATATCATGTTATGGAAGTTGAAAAAAAAACAGGTTAATTCTGTTATTATTTCCTTTCTTTCCTCAAAGAATTTTTCTTTATCAGCTTTTCAGAAAGTTATTTTAGGCACTCAAAATATTTCTGAAATGTTCTTTTTAGCAGTTTTAGTATTGTAATAAAAAAAACTATAAAATAACCTAATATCATTGAAAAGCGATTTTGACCTATGCCCATCACAAAAATTTGTTGCTGCTCAAGCTGAAATCCTGGTAATGATTTCGCTGTTCTCCTATTCAAACCGGGAAATGAAACTTATCTTAGCAAATACAGCCAACCAAATCAGAAATGATAAGAGCTGTTAAGAGAATGAAAAAATAAAGTTGAAGCTGAAATATAATATTATAAATATAATATTATTATTTCACTTAACAGAAATTATCAGTCCTTTTTTTAAATTTTTATTTTCCTTGATTGTTATCGTTTTCTCGCAGGAAAGCAAGCTTCGATTTTATTTGTGATGGACTTAACAGAATTAAAATATGATACACGACTTTATCAACTTGTTGTGGGACCACTTAAGTGCTTGGCTGAATTCATGTCGGAGCATTACGTTGAATTGATAAAATTCTTCGTTCTTGTCAACGCTCCTTCTTTCGTATATGCTTTGTGGACTATTGTTAAACCACTTTTACCAGAAAAGACAAAAAATAAAGTACAGCACAACTTTTACGAAATTTTTTGCATTTTGGTGGTATTTTTCCAATAATATTTTAGAAATGACATAATACTGAAGAACTGCTATACAGCGTTATCAGTGTTAGTGTCAGATAATCAGAAACTATTTATTTACACTTAGAAGAACCACAGAAATATTTATTACAATAGCAATTTTCTCTATGAAAAAATTTTAAATAAACAACAAACAGATACATCAAAATAAATTCAGGTGCGAATCTTAAGTTCATCAAACTGGAAGAACGAAATCTTGGAATATGCATGCGCAGAAAGCTTACCTGATATATGGAATTCACCTGATGAACCAAAATTATTCACTGCTAAAGTCTCACCTCCTATCAAGTACCCCGAAAATAATTACTGGAACGCTAAAAGCATCAAGGTTATTTGTTATACATATATTATTCATACAATATATGTACATATCGCTTCAGCTAAATAATTTATAATTTATATAATTTTTAAAAAACTTTGATTATACAAACATGAATTTTTTTTTTCTAGCTTTTCGAATGTTTTTATCTGTAATAAAATAAGTCATTTTTGCAGGATCCAAAGAATCTGCAAAAATTGAGAATTGCTGCAGGTAAAAAACTGTTCCTTACTGGGAAAATGAGGAAAAACGATGTACTGAACTTTTGGATATGTGCAAATATTGATATGGGTTTTGGTATTTTTCGTACGGATGAGGAGCTGGAAGAAGACATTTCCAAGTATTATTTATTGTGATATGGAAAATGCCTTATAACACTCTTGTAAGTCAAATATCAAAAATACTTTATCTTATTTATTACTTTTTAGGATGGAAACAATTTATCCTCTCTTCGGTTGGATTCCAGGCCCAACTTTGGTGCCTTTAGAAGATTCGATTACAATCCCCAAATCTGGATTTTATAAAATAATCATCTCTAATGAAAAGGCATGGTGGAATACATTGCTCATTGATTGTAAATTCAGTGAGGCTTTTCAATAAAGCAATCATCAAATCTATCATCCTTAACTCATAAAACTCATAAAGTTTACAAGACTTCTACAAAATTCTGCGAGTTTAACGGTAAGAAACTGAAAGGCGAGAGAAATAGAAAAGATCGACCGACTTTGGCTTTGTTCGACAAAATTTATGGCCAAATTATACGAGGATCCATGAATTTTACTGGTATATCTCTTTGTTGGCTCTTCAACCCTACTTTAATCGCACCACAACAGCTTTTGCCCCAATTTCACGAGTGCACCAAAGTCCCTTTTTTAAATTAATATTTTGGTATCCTCCACTCTCATTGCTCGTTTCGCCGCTCTTCTATTTATCGTAAAAAATGTGTTGCATATTGCAGCCATATATTTACAAATTGCGAATACTCCTTTTGATATTGACGATTAGGTCGAATTTCGGTCGAAATTAAATTTCTGGAAGGTTTTTGAAGAAAAATAAATTCATTCGAGTAATAGTACAATAAAAATACAAATTTACGAAAGTGAATTATCGACAAATAAAATAAAACAAAATAGAACAAATAAATAAATAATAATCAGTTAATTTATGAATTACGAAATACATTCGAAACAATTTTTTGTATAAAAATTGCCAACGAACTTCGCAAAAGTAACCAAAAGACGACGACAAATATTTCCACAAAAATTAACATTTACGCGACCGACTTTTAGAAATTACTTGTGCGTGAAATTTCAAAACTCGTTATCAAGATTGGAAAGTTTTTATTGAAGTCGTTTTACGGAGTTTTTTTTCGTTCGCGGATTTTTGAATTTATCACTGATAGAGATACATCAGTGTGCTTTGCGAGGCAACCTCTGAGCCCGCTAAAAGGTCGGATCGGGGAAAGGATAGCCGAGCGGACTGTGGCTAAGATTTCCGTGAACTGGCGAGAACTCGATCTCCAGTAGGAGAAGGCACGTCATCGGAAAACTAGGCGGTGGTGGTAAGATAGGAGGTAATGCTAGGCCAAGTGCCAGGACTGTTGCTGGTGAGCGGCGCTAGTACATCTATAAGTGCTGAGCTTCAATTCTTTAAAAGGTGCCACTGTTTTCCCTACTAATATTTCTCGGTTATCTATTACTCGCGATCACTGGCATTGAAATAGATAGGGCAAGAGGGTGCATTTTGATCTTTCTTATCGCCATTGCTATTTCTTTGGTAATTATTCATTCTGTCTGTCTCATTTGCGTTTTGTCCTTATTTCAGGTACTTATTTTGTCCTTATATTTTCGTAAAATTCATAAATGGATATAAATTGGAATAATTATCGTTCAGTTCTACGAAAATTATTTTTCGGACAAGAAAATTGGAAATTAGCCGATAAGGATTCGGAAATTGAGAGACTGTTTTTTAAATTTTTGTTGAAGTTACAAGAGCGATTGAAAAGGTTATTTAATATGAAATACATATCTTTATCGTTATCTTTATCATTTAAGATGTTCTCAGGGACTCATGGAGACTATCTTTCTGTAAATGACTATTTATCTTCTCTTAACATCATTTAAACATCTCACTCTAGTCGCTATTTCGCCACACAGCTTTAGCGTTCGTGATTTAAATTTTTAGACGTGGTCGGAAATCATGTGGTTCAGATCTTTCTCTTGAACCTCAAGTAAATCATCTTGGCATCCCAGTTTGTGATTTTGATCGTCGATATACTTCAAGGTTATTCGTCAGTGTAAAAATAAATGATTACGATCTCAAAGAAGTAAGTTTATTAAATTTCGTCCTTTTCTAATCCTTTAAATACCCTCTAATAGCTTAAATAAAAATTAAAAGGCATTTGATCCTAATTAGATCTTTGACGAATAATTCGTTGGTTGTATCGACGCTTTTCGGTCATGTGGACGCTTGTACGTGATGCATCTGTGCTTTTTATCTGTCCTTTTTTTTCTTTCTCCTTCGTTTTCTTTCACATTCCCATGTTTTATCATTTTCACTATCATTTAATTTTTATCACCAGAAAATAATAACGGAATCTTTTTCTGCTTTCATATTTGCTTTGCTTAGCAGTGATTTACAATAATTTTATTTATACGTACTATATCAGCTATAATCTTATAATTTTTCTTCACCACCTAAATAATGTCTTAAAAGAAAAGAAAATTCTTCGATTAACTGAATTTAACCGAATGGTAACAAGTCTTCGCCATCTTTTAATGACTCTCAACTGGTTAGGCTGGCTGGCTACAAGGTTAAAACCCTTGCAAGCTGTGCGGTCTGACACCATAGCTGATAGTAATAGAAGGCATTTTTTTTTCCATCGCCTAAGTCCATATATCGCTGGTCCATACTTTTACAATTTTTATTGACTGTGTCATAGGTCCAAGTTCTGATTGGCCCATCTCACTTTTGACACTAACCATCGCATGGTTTAGCAAGTAGTGAAATATGCGTTAACGTCTGTGGTGTACGACGAAGAACGTACCCTAACCATCGAACGCAGTACTTTGTGATGCAGTGGTATTTGTGCAATGAAGGTGGGTGCAAGTGTGGGTGTGTGGATGAAATGATGTGCGATTTTATCAGCTCGATGGACCCATAAAATGTATCTTAGATATGAGCGATCAGATGGCTTCTATCTTCCACTCTCATTGGCCATGCTTCGCAGCCATATAGAAAGATTGGGCAGCTATTTAGATACAGGATTTTGTTTTTATGGTAATTTCGCGATTGCCCCATAAAAGTTTTGTTTACTGGAAGAATACAGCTTGGTTAGGGCTTATCTTGTTGCTCTGTACGGCATTTCTAGCTACCATTAATAATGATGTAATTTCATCTTTTGTTTAGCCATTTGGGATTAGAGTGGATTCGAAATATTTGAATTATGATATCTGGCGTTTTCTCAACCTTTAATGAATCTATAAAAATAGGTATTTTACCAGCTTCTAAGACAAAAAACCTTCCGTTTTATTTGCACTGATCCTTAGTCCGATTCTCGTTGCAGCTGTTGACACGTATTTGCATTTCGTCTTAATTGTTAGCAAAAATGATTACATCATCAGCTTTTGTGATACGATACTCTAGACTGATTCGTACACCTATTAAGTGCAAATAAACAGTCCATTGTCCATTATCTGCCGCATAAAGGAATAAGGAAAAGGATACAGCCTTGATTGACACCAATTCTTATTTCGAAGCAGCCTATCAGTTTCCCATGTACACAGACCTGTGGCAATATATGCTGATAAAATGCCTTTATGAGTCGAATGATTTCTGGAACACCGTTGCGTTCCATCTCTTTCACCCTCCAAAATACTGTTGAATCGAAGATAGCTGTGAAGTCGGTGAAAGTCGTGGTGAGTTGCATATATTTGAAGCGATGTTTCAACACTTTTCTTAATGTGAATGGCCATCAGAACTGCGTCCCGGTCTAACAGCTTGGTTAGGGCTTATCTTGGCATCTCGCACTGCCATTTATGTCCGGAAAAACAGATGGCGTATCATATTTAAGTTTGCCCTGAAAGAATTTCTTCCACCTCGTAAGGCCTTGTTAGCCTTAACAGGCTCCCCATTAATATCCCGTATCATTTCACTGACCTCTTTTCGAATTATTTTCTTTTTGAAGAAAGTGGGCTAGTTTCCTTTTATTGCCTAATCGAGTCGCCGTTTCAATTTCCATGGCCTTATCACTCCAATAGTGATTTCTATCCCACCGAGATGGTGTCGTTGTGATTTTTTTTAAGCATTCGGTAGTCAGGATCTCCTGACATGCTTTTTCTGACTGTTGGACAATCGCTTCTCAATTCACTTACCCAACTCATTTTTTATTAATATATCTTGGCATGGAAATGGCTGATTTTCAAAGAATTCCTTTAGTTGGGTCCAGTATTCATCTGCTGTTCCAGAAGGACTGTTGATATTTATTTCATTGAGATTCTTTAATAATTCGGCTTGAAATATTCCGAATCTTTTAGCCAGGGATAATTGAAAGACATTGGGAAAACTTAGTGAAAGATATAACTGTCGTATTTTTCTCGTTTATAAATTTCTGGAAATTATTAATACTATTTTCAATTTTCCCATATTTTCGTCTGTACTTTCATTTTAAAAATTTTTAGTTGCCTGTCAATGTTATCCAAGAATTCACTTATGCTCTTTCGTTATTTGTCCTTTTTGAGAATAAAGTGAAAATGAATAAATTGCGGAATCTTAGGAAGAGTCAGAAAAATCTACCAATCGCTGCAAAACGCACTGAATTATTGCAAACTCTGCTAAATGTGAGTTTTTTTCAAGATTCAACTCTCTATGTTTTTTTAAAGAGCTTCACCATTATTAATTAGACTCGCTCCGCTGGCTGGCTAGAATCGTACAAGATAAATATGCCAGGAAGTCCCTTGATGATAGAAATAAAGGTGAATCTTATCAACTCTCGGACTCTCCTGCGGAGAGCAAAACACACCAGCATCAGCGCTCCAAATTGAACTACAACCCATTGCCCTTCCAATGTGAGATCTTTATGAAATATCAGTACATATCAGATTTATACCAGATGTGTAGTTATCAGAAATTAAAACTGTTATGAAATAGAAACAGAAATATATTAAAGTGCATTAAACTTGTACGATTTTTTTTGCATAATATCTCTTATTCGATTTAGATTTAGATTTAGTTAGATTTTTCCAGTTATAGTAATTATTTTATTTTTACTCAGGATGTTTTACTAAAAATTTGAGAGACCAATCTCATAAAACAAAATTAAAAAATATAATAGAATTTTTAGTTATCAAAATCTGTTTATATTCCATTAGTTTTTCTCCTTTTTTCCATATTTCATTTTAGACGCAAACACTTTTTATCGCTGGTGATACTGGATGCGGTAAAAGTACTCAGGTGTTTATTTCGGATATTTGGTTATTTGCTTTCTTTCACCCTTTTTTGGTTAAAAAATTTTTTTTAGTTTCCTTTTCCAGATCAGTACATATCAGATTTATACCAGATGTGTAGATACCGGAAATTAAAGCTGTTAAAATTCCTTTATTATTTTACTACTAGTTTATACAGTGTAAATGAAGTTACTGTGCAAATATATCCCCCCATATGTATGTGGAAATATTCTCCCTTCACATAAGTTTTAAAAAAAATTTCCATTTGATACTTTGACATCATTTTTTATCACCACCTATTTATTTTTTATTCTTTAGGTTCCGCAATATCTTTTAGAAGCAGATTATGATCGAATTGCGTGCACTCAGCCTCGTCGAATAGCTGCAACGGCACTTGCTCGTCGTGTAGCTTACGAAACTCTTGATGAGTATGGTAGCAAAATCGCATATCAAATCCGTTTTGAAAAAACGAGAACGCTGCGAACTCAGCTGCTCTTTCTCACTGAGGGTCTTCTTTTGAGGCAGATGCAAATGGACCAGAATCTTAGCCAATATAACGTTTGATTAAAAATTCATCGATTAAAGAATTTTTTTCCTGAATTTCTCAATACGGGCTAAATTTCCATATAATTAAAAAATATAGATATTTAATAAACTTTTATTCCCAGATATTGTTGGATGTTTTTTTGTGGACAAATTCGAAATATTCTATTTGAATATTAATTTTATAGACAATATTTACATTTGAATATTTCGAAAAAATATTAATTTTATTTCATTTTTATGATTCATCTTTCTAATTTAGATTGTTATTCTTGATGAAGTGCACGAAAGAAATCTTTCTGGGGATTTTTTAATGGGTCTCTTGCGTGATTTAGTTCGCCGACGAAGTGATTTGAAGCTTATACTTATGAGTGCCACAATTAATATCGAACTATTTCAAAATTATTTTAAAGATGCTCCTTTACTTAAGGTAATTTTTATTTATTTCTGCATCTTATTTACATCAGTACGAAATGAATTATTTTTAGATATCTGGTCGTTTGTTCCCAATTGAATTGCATTATATTCCTATCAAGGAATATGATAATTATGCTAATCAAAGGAAAAAGCCAAAAATTGATGCAGCACCATTTGTTAATGTTAATTATTTGTTTATTATTTCATACTTTTTCCCGTGGTGCTAATTGGCGCTTAAACCGTATTTATGGGAACTTTATTTTTATTTTGGTTTTGTTATACGGTGGAATAACATACGTCGTTCAGATTTTGCAAATGATTGATGGAAAATTTGATAAAAGTGAGAGAGGTGATGCGTTAATCTTTCTGAATGGTATTGCTGAAATTACTGCCGTTGCTGATGCCTTAAAAATATATGCAGAAAGTACAAAACGATGGATTATTTTAATTCTGCACAGGTATGTTGCAGTCTTGTTAATTTTTATCATCTGGTGAAAATATGTTTTAGCGCACTATCAACAGAAGAGCAAGATAAAGTTTTCGATGTGGCTCCAGTTGGTATAAGAAAATGCATTATTAGCACAAATATTGCTGAAACGTCGGTAACGATTGATCAAGTATCTTATATCTTATTTTCGATAAAAAAATATTCTATAAGTTTCTTTTAAAGTTTCTTGCAGTAATTTAAAAAGTTTCCTGAAAGTGATGATTTTTTAACGGAATTTTATCGGATTAAATATTCTTTCTATCTATTTATTATCTATATCCACTCATCAGTACAAGTTCAGATTAGATTCGTAATCGATTCCGGTAAAGTAAATCTTATGAAATTTGATCCAAAAACTGGGATGCATTCATTGCATGAATATTGGACATCACAGGCATCTGCTGATCAGAGGAAAGGTGAATTGGTTACTCTTTTTCATATATTTATGCACATGATTTTTTCCGGACAATTTTTTTATTTTTGATTTATTTATTTTAGGACGTGCAGGTAGAACAGGTCCTGGTATTTGCTACAGACTTTATTCTAGCGAACAGTTTGCAAAAATGGATCCATTCACAATCTCAGAGATACACAGAGTCTCCCTTGAATCACTGGCAATGCAGATTGTAAACATGAATATTGGAAGTAAATATCTAAGATATGTATATAATATTAAGATATAAGAGATATATTATTTTGTAATTTCCTATTTATTTCATCTTTAAATCATTAATTTTATTTTATTTATTATTATTTTTGTTTTTGTCATTATTTGTTATTTTGTCTCTTATTATTAATACAAGCATATGGCGTTTGCACCCTGCTCGACTGGTTTTCAATAAATAAATAAAATAAATAAATAAATATATATATAAATTAAATAAGTATTAAATAAATAATTAAATAAATTAAATAAATATCTATTTATTAAAGTATTTTAGACAGAAATAATTCCATTTTTTTTTCATTTTTTAGTAATACCAAGAAATTTCCCCTTCATTGAGTTACCCAATATGAATGCTCTTGATGAAGCTGTAGATTCATTAATAAAGCAAGGAATTCTGGAGCCTGATAATGAAAGCGCTCTCACTTCCTTGGGCAAGATTATTGCCAGTATCCCTGTGGATATACCAATTGCAAAAGTAAGTTCGTCAGTTATTACATCATAAAATCTTGTTTTCTCGCATTTTTTCTTCCTTTTATTATTTTTTTCATTTTTTTTGATTAATATGTTTATTCATTATAGATGCTGATTTATGGTTGTATATTTAGTCAAATTGAAACTGCACTTACTATTGCTGCTACTCTTTCAATTAATTCTCCTTTTACTGTGCGCTCTGCTAGAGACCCAGAAATACTTAAAAAACGCGATAATTTAATGTCACATTTTGGAGATCTTTTTACTTTTCTCAATGTTTTCAGGTAATGCTTATGCTTTCATTAAACTTTGCTAACAAACTTTCATGTTTATTTGTTACCATTGAATGATCATTTTAAGAAATTAAGAATTTCAAAATAGTTTTAAAGAGAATTCGTGAAGCTACATAATAAGCGTGCAGATATTCGGCAGTGGGGTCGTGAAAAAGGCATTGATATTCAACGAATTTATGAAATAAGGTATATACCGTTTATACTGCATACTATTATTGTTAATATATTATTCATTCATTCAATCAATTTGTTTTTAAAAATAGTGTTCCATCGATTTTCTAGTCAGTTGCGGCGACAGTTTAAGGAATTACTTGAAGATGGAGGCTTTATCGATAAAAGTAAGGGTGAAAATAGCAAAGAAAGGCGGATCAGTGCTGGTGATCGTAAGAGACTCAGCGAACTTAAAAAAGATGCAAGGTTTGAGCATTTTTTTACTGTGGTTTTATTTATTCTTTTGGTAAATTAAATTTTTTAAATTAAATTAAATTAAAATTTTTTAAAATTAGATTAATCAAATTTAAATAAAGATTTATCAAATTTATATTGAATTTAAATTTTTTTATTTCAGATATGAAGTGAAAAAAAGAAAAACATTGAAAGCTGGCGCTCATTTTGACACTATAGCTGACGATGAAGGTTGATTGAATTGGATTTAAATGATTTTTTCTTAATTGGGCGTTTACTTGAATAATGATTATTTTTCTGCATTCTTTTGCAGGAGGGCCATCATTTACGGACAATATTCAAGCAGTTGAATTTTATATAAAGAATCGTGAGAGTGGTATACGCGATATTTTAGAGTCTCATCATTTAACTACTAAATCAATAGTTATGATTAGTATGACGGTTGTTGCTGGCGTTTATCCACAATATGCTATTTTGGATCAATATAATCATTACAAGGTCACTAGTTTATTCTAAATTATTAGTTTACTTCATACTGTTATGGTCTTATGCAAAAAATTCATATTGCTTCCATGCATTTTAGATATTGCTTCCATGCATTTTCTTTTTGCATAATGTTCTTTGTTTTTAGGTAGGTAATGAATTATTTGCCCATACTCGTAAGAAACCGTTTGCTGGTTTACATCCAAATGGATGCCTGGCATTATTTCCTGATGCCCTCAGTTATGATCAAAATGACCAGGTTGACTTTTTTGCCTGTTCCGTTTCCATTTTTCTATTTTTTAAAAATTTTAAAAATATATTGTGTTTTACGATATTTTTGATCATTTTTTAGAATTTGTCGCGATATCATCAGTTGATTGTTTTCGCATCACTTATTGAGACTACTAAACCATTTTTATGTAATACCATTTCTGTACCCGCTTTGGTACTTCTTCTTGTTGCTAAATCCGTATGTCTATTTTTCATTTTAGAATGAATGGTTAAAATTCCTAAAAATGTGGGTCATCTCATTCATTTGCTGTTAAAAGTTGAGTAATTATAAGTTTTCAGGTATGTTGTTCAGATGATGACTATTCAATCGTTTGTGATGATTTTGTTCACTTTAAATTTTCTAGGGCATCTGATTTTTTTACTATCATTGAAAACACTTCATCAATTAGATGTCAGATCGCCAGCTCAATAAGAAATCGTTTAAATGGTGATTGTTCTGAGTCAAAATCTTTGATTAAAAACATCACTTCTTTTTTGAAATACGATTTCGAATACAGGTTATTAAATTGTATTTTTTAATTATAAATTGATATAATTGAAATTCTTATCTCTTTCCTTTTTATATGACGAAAATTTCTAGAATGACTCGAAGAGCATGCCCTGAAGACGTGGTCAGTATCGGCTTTATTCTTCCAACTGGTGAAAAATTATTAGAAGATGAAGAAAATGATGTTGCTTCATATCTTCGTTGCAATAAAAATGACGTTGAAGTATTTATAGTTTTATCTTTTTTATTCACGTTAATTAATGAAGAATTATATGCATAAAATTTCAAAATCCTTTTATCCTTCCTATTTATTTTTTCTGAAACAGCTCGAAATTTCAAAATTTTTTTATTGATTGCTTTTAATTATTTTTTATTGTTATAGATTCATGAATTAGAAAAAAGTGAAGGAATTACAAATAAAGTGGAATATTTTTGTGAGATTTGTAGAAAAAATTTGTTTTTCGATTCGAATTTCGATATTCTCCGCCATAAGCGAATACATGATTAACTAATGGTTAGAATTTGGTAAAAACTTTTTTATTTTTGGTGCAAAGTTGCTCTGGACCATCACAAGTATCTCAATATCCAAGGGCTATTTGGTCGTTCGAAAATTCAGTTCAGTAAAATCGAATTTTGAATATGTGACACTGATCGAGAGCACTTTTTCATTGAATTTATGTATATATATATATATATTCATATTATGTGGTTTATTATATGGTTTATTGTTAGTGCTTTGAAATCATTCTATTTTTGATTTTTTTGGTTCATATCGAATATATATTTCCTACTGCTGGTTTAATTTTCCGACTTTAGTCGGTCTCTTTCATTGATTATATTTATTTTATTTATTTGTTATAGTTTCATTTATTTCCAGGGAAAGCTTATAATATACTTTTCATTTTATTTCTTTCTAATTCTAGTTTTTTTTTCGGAAGCCATATATTTAAAAAAATTTATTAATATACACTCTTCATTGTCTTATGCGCTATATATTGGCTTTAAAAATCACCAGTACTTCGACATATGGTATTCTATTAAAATTAAAAAGAGAAAATGGTCTTGTTAAAAATTGCAGCTGTAAATTTATTGAAGTAGCAAATTTAAATGCATTCAATGATTTTGATGGTTTTTTTCAAACGGTTATTTTTTGCCAGAATTCTTTTACGACAAGTTACTTATAAAAATTATAGGAGCGACAATTTTTTATTTATAAAATTGCGTTGTAAAAATCAAAAAAATTTGGAAAAATAATTGAAAATTGAATAACATTTGGTAATTAAGATGATACATTAAGGAAAGGATTCTGACAATGAATCAATTAGTGAAGGAATTAAGCTACAAAAAAGAAATTATTAGATTGAGATTTATGAAATTTTTAGAAGTTATACAATGCTCTCAATGTTTTATTTACTGATTTCAACGTTTTGATATTTTTGATATTTTTATAATATATTTTATATATATTTAATATATATATATATTTTTTTTTATAATAAATTTGAATTAAAACTTAAGAAATATCAAATATTTAGTTATTTTAACTGATGCTGAATATTTGATTATCATTTATTGGATGTTTTGATATTTATTTGATATTTTTTAATAAAAGGATTTTTAGGCTCTGTCAAGTATAATATTATTCACTAGTAATACTTAATTTATAATATCAGTTCATGATTTTAAATTTTGGACGACTGTCACGATTTGGTTAATAGCTTTTAACAAATGTTAGCCACTTTATTTAATTTTTAATTCTTATAAATTAATCATGCATTCTTATAATAAATCATTCGTTTTCAATAAATTTTCAATAAAGCAAATGGAAAACAGTGAAATTTTTATAAATATTCTTTCATAAATATTCTTTCAGATGGTCCGTTTTTCTTATGATATCGATGGAAATTAGTTGCTATAATGTCGAAAAGAATTCTCGTCGTTAATAGGAGGAAATTTATGGGGAAATTATTGTTTATTGTTAGTTTGCCTTCCATCGATGTCAATGGTCGCGTATCAAAAAAATTTATTAAATGGTATTAAAATACTTGAACTTGCTGGATTAGCACCTTCTTCATTCTGTGGCCTTGTTCTTGCTGATTTCGGGGCTGAAGTTACAGTTATTCAAAAAGTAGGCTTATCATTGATGATTGAGAAAATATAGAGAAAACTTAGGCATTTATGCATCATTAAATTTTGGCATATTTTTATAACTGTGATAAGAAGATATTTAAACATTATTAATTAACTTAATCAACTCAAAATTTTTTAATTCTTAATTGAATTTTTTTAGGTATATAATAAATCGAACTTTGAAGAAAGATTAATTCGCAACAAGAATGTCATTTCTGTAAATTTAAAAACTGCTGAAGGATTGCAGTCAGTCAAAGAACTTTGTCGAATTAGTGATGTGCTGATCGATCCATATCGGCCCGGGGTATTGGAGAAAATTGGTCTGGATCCTGTTGAATTAATGAAGGTTTATGGGTTTAATTCAATTCATTTTTTATGCAACAAATAAATTATATTTTATTCTTACCATTTGCAAATGTTTTGAATTATGTTCTTGTATATAATCTTTTAGTCTACCAAGTTTAGGATAATAGGAGATTGGTAGTAATTCGAATAACAGGATATGGACAAGTGGGTGAAATGGCGAGTGCTGCTGGTCATGATATTAATTACGTTGGACTTTCTGATAAGTTTTTTCTTCATTTAATCTTTATTATTCCAACATCCTAATCTGTTCCAATAAAAAATTAAAAATTTGCGAATAACAACTGGAATCTCTTCCAGGAATTAAAAAAATAAAATGTTGGGAAATATAATCAGACATTTTATTAAAATTTTCAAGTATCCTTCCGATGATTGCCGGTCGATCAAATAAACAGGCTCCATATTGGACTCCTGCCAATCTTCTTGGTGATTTTGCCGGTGGTAGTTTTTTGGCAGCATTCGCGATTGTTTCTGCTCTTCATCACCGTGATAAAACTGGTTCTTTCTTTCATCGATAGATAGTTTTTTGAAATATTCTTGTAGACCAAGTTGTTTTTGCTATTTATATTTCTTTTTTAAACAACGTTCACCGTTTCATTATTTCTGGTTCTAGTCTGGTTTAGCTGACTCTACTGGTCACTTGTGTGAGGATCCTTAAGAAGTTTTCAACATTGGTGGATATTCAGCACATGCCAAAACTTTGCTTACCTTTTTCATTAAAAAATCTTTTTGATTCATAGAAATCAATCATTTCTTGAAAATTTATTTATTTCTAATTCGGATGATTATTTATTTTTGAGGTTTGGATAGGAAATTTAGTGGAGAATATGAAGATCTTTAAATATCTTTAAATTGCTTAATCACAAATTGCATTGTTGCACCAATTTACTTTTTGTGGTCTATTAATGCGATAAAGGAATATTTTATTTTATATAACGGTCCTTTTTTCTTTCCATTTTCCTTTCACTATTTTGCAAATACCAGTTAAATTTTGCTTTCTGGAAATTCTTTAATTTATAATGTGAGCTAGGTGACAATGGATTTATCATCGATTTAAGTATGGTGGAAGGTATTTCGTATCTGAGTAGTTTTGTATCAGTTTATCAAGATCTTGACGTTTTATGGCACCAACCATATGCAATATTCTCTGGAAATTGTCCTATATACAGGTTTGTTTTTTCTTTGCAAGTTTTAGCTTTTTTTGATGGCTTTGCGCTTTTTAACGATGTTTTCAGAACATACGAGACGTTGGATAATAAATTTGTTGCTGTTGGTGCACTAGAAGAAAAATTCAGTTCCTTATTGTTCAGAAGTAAGGAAATGAATTTGATTGCTTACAAAAAGATCCACTCTAAGTTATTGAATAGTTATTATATAGTATTTAGTAACAGAAGATGCTAATATTATTATATTTTAATTATTTGGCACAATTTTTCTCCTACGAATTTTCATATTTTTGGCAAATCTTTTTGATTGGAAATTATTCATTTGATGGAGATTTATTTTCAGCAAGTAGTCTAAAGCGGAGTCAAATAAAAAAACAGTAGTATAATAATAATAATAATAATAATAATAATAATAATAATAATAATAATAATAATAATAATAATAATAATAATAATAATAATAAATAAGAATAATAAATAATAATAATAAATAATAATAATAAATAATAATAATAATAAATAATAATAATAATAAATAATAATAATAATAAATAATAATAATAAATAATAATAATAAATAATAATAAATAATAATAATAAATAATAATAATAATAAATAATAATAATAATAAATAATAATAATAATAAATAATAATAATAAATAATAATAATAAATAATAATAATAAATAATAATAATAATAAATAATAATAATAATAATAAATGATAGTAAAGCTGAAGATTGATTGAAAATTAATAGCTAATTTTTAATTTTTTTAACTGCGAAATTTTTTTTTAACGAATTTTTATGAAAAAAATTTTAATTTTTCAATGGGTTTAATTGTCAGTGGTAACCGCAGTTTACAACAGTAGATTCTTTGCAGCCTTGGGCGTCAGCTTCAAGCAAGAAGATTTATTTGTAAAGTCAGCTGAAGTGGTAGCTTTATTAGAGAAAATTTTTAAAACAAAGTCAAGAAATGAGTGGACTGAAATATTCAAAGGTTATTTTTCACAGTCAGCTACATCATTTTTTATATCTTTTTCATAAATCGAGTAAGAATTAAAATTGAGCTTATTTTTTCATTCATCTTTTTGTTTTTGCTTTCAAAACATATTTAATTTTAATTTAATTTTTATTTAGTTTTCAAAACGATATTTAATATATAATTTATATTGTATGATATTTGATTATTATTTAATATTTAATTTTATTTTCAAGAAATATTCTATTTTTCTGGATTTCTTGCTAGCTTTTTTGAATTATTTTAATCATTGTTTAATTTTTTTCTTTAAATATTCATATTCTGATCACTGATTCGTGCAAAATGTTTATTTATAGATGTGGATGCATGTGTTTCACCTGTGGTTGATATAGACGAGCTAGGGAATATTAAACATCATCAAAAAAGAGGATCTTTCATGAAACAGAACAATAAATATATCCCTCTTCCTGCTCCACGTTTTTACACCAGAGAAGAATTTGAATCGCTTCGTGCTGCGAATAATAGAAAATTTGATAGCTAAATAAGAATTCCACTCATTCATTTGCACTTATCTGAAGATATTTACAATGATGAAGCTGATTGCAAATTTTCCTGTACAGATTTTCGCACATGTATCTCTATATTCTCCGCATATAAATTAGCTCGGAGCTACAGTGGAGAAATTAAGAAAAATAATCATTTAGACATGATAGGAATGTAATCCTTAATCCTTACATCTGTTCAATGTTAAATTGGAATTTTATCAATTAATTAAAATGAGATGAGATTTGGTTAACCAAAAAACTGGTTTGCTTGAATATAAATATCAATTAGTAAGATTAGCTAAGCTATTCAACTATTCTTAAACGAGGAAAATTTTTTTTTCCGGTGTTCAATTATTTTGTGCCATAAAAGTGTGTTTTAAAGCAAAAACTGTTTGGCATTGATATATTATTCTCATTAAATATGTATGTTGATAAAAATTCGCCAATATCTATTGAATGAAGAAATTTGGCTTTTTTAAGGAAATATTTTATCAATTATGGAAGATTTTCGCTTTATTTTTTGCTTAATTACTTGTTTTCTATTATTTGTTGTAATGGAAAATTATGGCATTTATGATATTCATTTGTCGTCAACTGTCAAATTTCTCGTTTATTAATTTACGTTTCATTTCATTTAATTTCTGGCCTTTATTTTTCAATAACTGTTCATGCTTTCTTTACGTGCTATTCATTTCATTTAATTTCTTTCTTATAGAAATAGATTAATCTTTAAATTTGTTTTTTTCATTGGATTGATAAAAATATATGGTATGGCATTGAAGTTTTTGAAAACTGAAATCATAGAAAGCTGAAATTGAGTTACTGTATTATCTAAGATATTTGCTTAAGTACCTTGAAAAAACTTGAAAAATGTTTACCATCGTAAATTTCTCGGTTATGTTATATTGTTTGTGCTGTAACATAAAATTTGCTAAGTTCATTATTGGTAACATGGTGCATATGAGGGTGATAAGGGCAGGAGTATGGAGCCGAATAGCTGAGAGCCTCAGCCTATTTAAAGACGAGGTCTTAATTAATGTTGGTTGTAACAGTTGTCTTAATAATAGCAAGTGTTGGTCATAATTTCAGTCTTACACAATGGAACTGATAAACTGGAAAATGGTGAAGAGGTACTTAATAAATGATTAATGAAAGGGTTGCAAATTTTTCCGTATCTCTATTATATTTTCTTTTTCAAAAGTCCTCACCACTAGTTAAGCTCGTTTCGCTGGCTGGCTAAGGTGAACGAATATTCCAGAGAAGAGTTAATGAAAAAACATGATTATAATTATGAAGTATTTGCGAAAACATCGCATGATCAGTTAAAAACAAGAAAAGTAAAGAAATGAGTGATAGTTAATTTGAACATTTATATTAACCATGTGAATGGGGGATTAAAGGACTTAAAAAAACGAATATAAATGATGCGAAAGTTCCTCAAGGCGATAAAAATAAATGGTTAAGCCAGTTCAGCTGGCTAGTATTACGGTCTGAATGGTGTTAGGAGCACAGGTGGGACCATCTGTATAATCTTCAATGACAGTTCCACTTCTGCCAGAAGGAAGAGATCGAGATCGGGATTGAGATGCCTCTCAACACGATAGTCTGAGCAAATATCCAGAAAGCTACCTCCCAAAACGATAGAATGATAGAATAATTGTATAACTATGGCGCGGTAAAAAACGACAAAATAATTTTTCGCACTAATCAGTGATGTTTATCCAGCAGGAAGCAAAATCCGAAATGAGGCGATAATGCGAGGAGTAGCCATTTGGCGGTGCTCTCTCCTAATGCGTTTTTGTGACGTAAAGTCTCTGAAACATAAGGATCATGGACTTGAAATACTTTTTTCGAATTTTATAGTTTAATAATTCGATGCTATGAATTGTTTTTAAGCATTACGTGCAAACGTTCTGAAGTGCAGTTTGACTGTCGATTTTATAATAATGAACACGTCACGTAAACAGATCACAGCCAATCATCTTTTTCCTTGATCGATTTCCGTGAAAAATTTCGTGGAAAAAATATTTTCATTGGCTTTTTTCTCTTAATTCATATTGACAAATGGTATTTTATCGAAATGACACTCGATTTCCGACAAACTTTCCAGTCTTTATATGGATTTGTTCATTTATTCTGGGTGCATTCGTCGCAATCTACAAAGTTTGTCTTACAATCACTTCGCCAAATATAAAACTACTACTACCGGTGACTAACTATAATGCTACCACGCTTGACGAACGTAAAATGCAGCGAAGATCTCGATTCTCTCGGCGGTCATTGGGTCAACGCATATTTATGGATTCCGATGTGCAAAATTTCTTTGACAATAATTCTTTTATTAAAGCCTTATTTAATTTGAAACTTTATTCGTTAAATCGTTAAAATCCAATCAGTCCTCCTTAATATTATGTAGAAAGTGAACTAACTAAAGCCATTCCTTTTTACCACTGTTTAAGCACGTATCATATCTCTGAAGCGTCTAGGCATCTCTCCCTTCCCTTCAGAATCTGCTTTGACGAATCCATTCCTGGTTGTGACTGGCTCTCCTCATTTTTGAAGCCATTCGTCATGGAGTTTGGCAAGTTAAGGGGTATGCGTCAATTCGATGGAAGAACATGGCACCAGGTTTAGCAAATAACGAAATATGCGTCAGCTCCTGTGGTGGACACCGAAAAATGTGCCCTAACCAGCGAAGGCGGCGCTCTGTCATTATTTATGCAAGTGATATTTGAACGAAGATGGATGTGATCTTTATTTTATATTTTATCCGCTCGACGGATCCGTAATATGTACCTTAGACAAGATAAAATCTTTTTGTAATGAAAGGTGAATGAATTTATTCGTGGTTGATGTGTTTTCAACATTTTTTTCGTACAGTTCATGTAATCAATCCGATTATCAAAAGCGAAATAATTTTATAAAATATATGACATTATTAAAAAGAAAGAAATTTTTTCTTTTATAAGACTTTATAAGATGAATAAATTAAGTGGTGAACGCTGAACATTTCTGGTTGGGCTAGTTTTGCTGGCTGTTGGAGTACGTTGGAAATTTTTTGCTTGGGAGTCATAGATATAATTGGATCACCGGTAATATCCACATTTTCTAAAACATAGTTCTATGGGAGACAAAATTTTGACACTCGTAACCACAATCCAAGCAATAACACTGGACTAACTCGCTCTTCAGAAAAATAATGAGTTGATCCTCTTATAAAAATGTCATTTTTTCTGATTTAGTTCACTTAGCTGAATGGTGGAACCATTTTGTAATTATCTGAGGATAGAAGTACAAATGGATCTCGATAGTGGATCACCTGAAGATTTTAGTTTTGGGTCATGCCACTGAGAGAAAAAATCTTCGGTTTCTGCTTCCGAGAGAAATAAAGGGCAAATTCATCGAAAAACATGGATGATGCTGAGGTCCTACCAGCAATTCTATCAGCTATAACTCCCTGGCAAACTTCTAACCATACTAATAATAACCAGTGAAGCGTATCTACCAGAAATGATTGAGCGCTATACGATGCATTAATTTGGACGACGATCTGTTGTTGGTTGTTTAATATAATCATTAATCGCAATAATAAACTCTTTTGTTTATATATTCATTTATTTTGTTTTTGTTATATTAATTTTCCATTTAAAAAAATTAGCGAAAATTACAACGGTTTTTGCTGATAATAAAACGTTGGATTATATGATATCATCCCTCGGATTATTAACGATTTAAGAAACAATGCGGAAATTGAAAAGAGAGAATTTTTTGGAATCTTCCGACTCGTTCTTTTTTGTTTTATTGATAAATAGGCACGAAACATCAAATTGCAACACAAAACATCATCGGTTCAACCAGTTTTTTCAAAAATTTTGATTTTCATCATCATCGTCGTTTATATCGATCTCAAGAATGCATTCACTGGGCGGACAATCGGCCGGTCACTCAACGGGCCCATCTTAAATATCCGAAATCCTTTCATTGTGCGTTATGCAATTCCTAGAGGTCATCCAATCATACTTTCAAAAATTCCCTTCTATTGGATTTCGATTTAGGTTTGAGTTTTTTATTTGTTTTAGTTTTCACTCTGTTCGCCAAGCACTGCGTAATCGTTCTCTCTTCTTTTCAAGCCTATTACCTTATAATATCTTTTGGATTTGTCAACCTTGACCTAGTTGACTATCGTTGTTCTATCATTTTTGACGTCTAAGCCTATCTAATAAAAATTTCAATTTTTTTTTCGACTATGCTTGAAGAAAAAAATTTTTATTCCATCTACTTTGTAAAAATGATATATTTCACTAGATTCATTATTTGTTATTATTTCAGAATTTATATCTTTATGATCAGGCAGAATGGATGTTGCTTAGTTTGTCTAGGACCTAGGTTCGGAACCTACTTAAGAGAAGAATGAACCTATTATTAAAAAATTGGGGAGATGTTTGGAAGACACTTGCACTTTCATTTGCAAATGGTCGTAAATAGAAGTTCTCACCATTTAATGGCCAGTGGAACCTTACTAGAAGTGATGGGCATTAATGATGAGCATGGGCAATACTGGGCACTTCGTTTATTTATATAGTTAAGGTAACTAAGATCGAAGAGTATTTTAGCGAATTAGAATGAGTTTTTTTAATATTATTGCTTTAATGAGGTCATTTTGATTTCATTTCATTTAAAGTGGAAGCAAAACAAAGGTCTAAAAAGAAGGAAAGAACGTTTCGTTGTAATAGATTAAATGGTTTTTCCATTTTTTGCAATTTTTTAAAATTAAATTAATTGAAAGACTTGCTCATCTGTGAAAAGCAAACAAATTTTCAAAAGCGAATGAAAATTATGGATTGGCTGCTGTTTACTGGCTCAAAGTGGCACCACATATACATAACATGACACTCTGTTAATACATTCGTTTGCCATTTGTTAATCTGTAATGCAATAAAGTTAGAAGATATATTGATTAATTGATCATCACAAGTTGATAAAATTAATTTTCTGG